GGCCAATGTGAAGACTCAGGTCTTCATCTGGCCCATTAGAAGTCTTAGGCCTTCAGCTGGCCTCTGAGAAGGCTCAGGCCTTCATCTGGGTCCATGAGAAGGATCAGGAATTCACCTGGTCTATGTGAAGACCCAGGCTCATGTAAAGGTTAAGCCTTAAATTGACTTATTTGATGAACATAGGCTCAGGTTTTAATGGGGCATATGTGAAGGCTTAAGTTTTCATGTGGCTTATGTGGCGTCAGGTCTGTATGAAAGCTCACGTCTTCATATTGTTCACGTGAAGTCCTCACGCTACATTTAGCTTATATGAAGAATTCTAGGCCTTCGTCCATTTTGTTTGAAGGTCTCGAATTAAATTTAGCCTGTATGAATTTCTTAGGCTTCATCTAGCCTCTATGAAGGCCTCAGACTTCATCTAGCCTGTTTGAAGGGGCTTAAGGCTTCATCTAGCCTGTATGAAGTTCTAAGGCCTCACGTAGCCTGTTTGAAGACCTTAGGCTTCATCTAGCCCGTAAGAGGGCGTTTGCATTCATCTAAACTGTTTGAAGGCCTTAGGCTTCATCTAACCTGTATAAAGGCCTCGGGCTTCATCTAGACTTCACCTAGCCTCTGTGAAGGCCTTAGGCTTCATATAACCTGTAAGAAGACTTAGACTTCATATAGCCTGTATGAAGGCCTTAGACTTCATATAGCCTGCATGAAAGCCTTAGGCTACATCTAGCCTGTATGAGGACCTCAGGCTTCATCTAGCCTCTATGAAGGCCTTAGCCTCTATGAAGGCCTTTACTCGCCTGTATGAAGACCTCAGGCTTCATCTAACCTATACAAAGGCCTCAGGCTTCATTTACCCCATATGAAGGTCTTAGGCTTCATCTAGCCTGTATGAAGACCTCATCTAGCCTCTATGAAGACCTTAGGCTTTATCTAGTCTGTATGAAGTCCTCAGCTTCACCAAACCTGTGGGAATGCATCAGACTTTATCCAGCCTGAATGAAGGACTCAGGGCTTGAATGGGAAAAATCGTAGGATATTTCTCCTAAGATATCCTCTGAGCTGCTGTAGATGTTTTCTTTATAGGAAAAATATATTCTCAGCGGAGCTATAAGAAAAATTCTCAGCAGAGCTGAAGATGTTTTTTTCTCTAGGAAAAAAATCCATTCTTAGCTGACCTGAGGATGCTTTTCCTCTAGTTAAAAATCCATTCTCAGCTGACCTGAGGATGTGTTTTTTATGTTTTTGGGAAAATTCCTCATCTTTAGCCCCTGCCGAGGATATTTTTTTTATTATTTACCTCTGTCCAGAATTTTTTTTCTTAGGATTGTTTTTAGATTTGTTACCTATTTTCAGAATTTTCCCTAATATCTTTGTACAAAGTTCAGTAATAAAGAACTTCTTTTGAATTTTGTTTGTATCTCGACACTCCCCATTTCGAAATCGTGCAAAAAAATCTAAATCAAAGGTTAGGGAGCTGTGAATCATCGATTAATTGAATATTTGTTTACAGGTGTTGCGATTAATTGATTTGAATGAAATTGCTTTAGTTTAATTAGACCCACTCAACAGTTTGCAGTAACTGATGAAATTATTCGCCAGTTAGTCACTCGATGCGATTAAAATGCCATTGTATGACGATTATAGCCCAAAAGTATGAATGGAACTACCTGTTATTGCAATACTCCAGATATTTTTGTTTTATTTTTTTATAAATTTTTTTATTGAACCTAAAAATATTAAGGTAAATAACCGAAAAAAATCAAACGCAATTGCTGTAGCTCTACCCTGTTTCGTTTGAGGCAAAAATAATATGAATTCTTATCTTATCGTTTGGTGACGACTTTGAAACGCTAACTTCCAATCAGATATCAAAAGAATTTCTTTAAATTATTCAAAAGAAAAAGTCTTAGCAAATAGTATTCGTAGCGTAAACGTTGTTATTGCATTAACGTTTTTTGGTTCTTTTGTGTTTTCATAGAAAATATTTTAATAATATTTTTTGATCGGGTATCGCCAAAAAAAAAAAACAGTTATCAACGGAAATATATGTGATTTATGGCTTTAATTTGCCCGCCAATTGACGAAAAAAATTCTTTGAATGAAAATATGGCTTATAGATGTGAGAAGGCTGGCATAGGTTCGCCAGTTGCAAACAACGGTTAGGAGACATACGTATTGTTTAGTTCACTTATAATATCGCGGGAAAAGGGCCACTCTTAAATCTCCCGGTAAGTTTAATGAAATTGCCAGTGATAATATCCAGGAAATTAACCCCTTAAAAAATGTGGTCCAAAAAAGTTAGCCCAAAGTGCGTTTAGGGTTTTATTCACCACATAGTCTGCCTCCGCCATTTTCGATCGACCTACTGGTTGGGCGCCACCTATATGAAAATTTAGATATGAGGTTTTTTCTTATCTTAGACTTCGATATAGATGATAAAACTGGCCGTACTTGCGATTTCAAAATTCAAGGTTATTGCGGAAATATACAGAAAGTATTTTTTAGGGGCTTTCGACCGCCAATCTCTTAAAAAAATTCGCTTTAATACATTTCGAGTCGTCTCAGCCATGTGCGCATATTTTTTTGGCCTAAGGGTGCGTATGGGTCATCTCGGCCTACATTTTCGAGTACCCAAAAAAAAAAAAAAAAATAAAATAAAAAAATCCGTAAGGAAAGGTCAAAAGTCGGGCGGGGCCGGATATATCATACCCTACACCACTATGCGTATTCAGTAGAGCTCCTGTAACAAAAAATGTTTATATGGGGAATTTATGTGAAGTAGATCATACCAACTATGAATCTTAATCAAATGCTTATCATGGCTTTAGATTAGTCATAATTTGGGAATCGATTTTCAATAAATTTGATGGAGGCTATGACATTACTATTTAGCGCATGATATGACTTCGATAAAAATTAAAAACGAAGTAAAAAAGATCTAAGTTCAGCCGGGGCGAACTTTGAATACCCTCCAACATTTGGAACAAATTTGGCAATTTTCAAAAAAATAAAAATTCCGTTTAAATCTTAAAAATACCGAATGTAACCGTTATATTAGCGTCTATACGACGACGTGGACCTGCATAGGCAACTTTTGTCATAAGCCATTACAATATTCAAATGCGAAATTTGAAAAAAGAAAATCCGGGGAATAATGTAGCTAATATCATTAAAATACCGAATATGGGGAGGTACCGTTATATCGGGGCTATACGAAGACCTGGACCTGTATAGACAACTTTCTGTAATGGGCTGTAGAATCCATTACGAACCTCAAACACGGAATTTGAAAAAAAAAAAACAGGTGAATAATGTTGCTAAAATCATCAAAATACCGAATATTGGGAGGTGCCGCTATATGGGGACCATACGAAGACGTGGACCTGCACAGACAATTCTCTGTCTCAGGCTGCAGTGTCTATTACGAACTTCAAATACTGAATTTGAAACAATTCGGGTAAATAATGTCGCTAAAATCATCAAAATACCGAATTTCGGGAGGTACCGTTATATGAGGGCTATACGAAGACGTGGACCTGCACAGACAATTTTCTGTCATAGGCTATAGTATTCACTACGAACTTCAAATACCAAAGTTGGAACAATTCCGGTGAATAGTGTCGCTGAAATCATAAAATACCGAAAATCGGGAGATACCTTTATATGGGGGCTATACGAAGGTGTGGACCTGTACAGACTATTTTGCGTCTCAGGCTGTAGTATTTATTACGAACTTCAAATACCAAATTTGAAACAATTCCGGTGAATAATGTCGCTAATGTCGGCTGTACGAAGACGTGGATCTGCACGGAAAGTTTTCTGTCATAGGATGTAGTATCCTTTGCGAAATTCAAATACTGAATTTTAAACAATTCCGCTGAATAATACCGCTACATTCATCAAAATACCGAATATAGGGAGGTACCGTTATATGGTGGCTATACGAAAACGTGGATCTGCACTGACAATTTTCTGTCTTAGGCTGCAGTATCCATTACGAACTTTAAATACCAAATTTGAAACAATTCCGGAAATTCATGGAAATACCGAATATCGGGTGGTATCGTTATATGGGAGCTATACGAAGACGTGGATCTGCACGGAAAATTTTCTGTCATAGGATGTAATATCCTTTGCGAACTTCAAATACCAAATTTAAAACAATTCCGGTGAATAGTGTCGCTAAAATCATCAAAGTACCGAAAATCGGGAGGTGCCGTTGTGTGGGGGCTATACGAAAACGTGGACCTGCACAGCAAATTTTCTGTCATAGGCTGTAGAATCCATTACGAACTTCAAATACCAAATTTGAAACAATTTCGGTGAATAGTGTAGCTAAAATCATAAAATACCGAATCTCGGGAGGTACCGTTATATGGGGGCTATACGAAGGCGTGGACCTGCACGGACAATTTTCTCTCGTAGGCTGTAGCATCTATGTCGAACTTCAAATATCAAATTTGATACAATTCTAATGAATAATGTCGCCTTATTCATCAAAATACCGAATATCGGGAGGTGCCGTTATATGGGGGTTATACCAAAACATGGACCTGCACGGCCCATTTTCAATACCAAACGTCCTGCAGTGGTACATAATACACATTTGAGTTAAATTTTATCAATCTACTTAATTTCGTTTGGAAGCTAGCATGATCTCCACAGATGGACAGACGGATTATCATCGCTAAATCGACATAGGATATTATGCGGATAAAGAATATATATATACTTTGTGGGGTCTAAAATGTATATTTCGAGGTGTTACAAACGGAATGGCAAACTTGATATACCCTCCATGCTATGGTGGAGGATACAAAAATACTAGTAAGGAATTTTCTACTGAAGATTAAGAAGATTCCGACGTTTTATGTTAATGTCGAAAATTTTAAAATTTTCCACTATGCTTCCATCTCTCACGTTTGCTTGCCACTGTATATGTCCAGGTCTTAAAGGTTAAAAAACGTACATCTTTCATCATCAATATCTATTTCTGTTTACAGCTTTGTTAAGCGGCAGAATGCATCTGCCTAAGGAGACCAAAACGCATTGAGGAAAGAACTATTTAAAAAAAGGAGAAAGAAAGAAATAAAAATCTAAAACAAATTTTTGCGATTTTCCATGGAAAACAAATAAAGGTGAATGACAGTCAAGTGTCCAGCCGAAGCAACTACAAAGCATACTCAAGAAAATTCTGCAAAAAATCACAAACAATTGGCAGCAACAAAAAACAACAACAACAACACGAACAAGAATTCAAATATTTACAAAGTATTTGAAAGTATTGTGTGTGTGTGGCCCGACCAGAGAGCCACTACGCGTGTGTGTGTGTGCAACCAATCTCCAATCCAAAGCATACCCATTGTAACCCGAGTGAATGTATTCCATTTTGGCCCACAACACAGATCTACAACGAAGGCTATCTATCCATCTAACTTGGCCATAACTATGCTGACATATCAGCGCGGTTTCTTTTGTGGTGACCTCAGCATTAGGTATCCCTACCATGAGTGCACCATTACCGTGCCCATGCTGCTCGTGTGCATGCTACTGTTGCCCATGCTGTTCCTTGGCGTGGTGGAGATCATGCGCCTCTGTCATAACTTCCGTTTAAGGCAATATCTGCGAAACACCAGCCTGAGTTTGGGTTGTTTTAGCTTTGGTTTTATTGCCACCTACCTGAGCACAGAGTTGGCCAAAAATGTGGTGCGTCGTTTGCGGCCCCACTTCTATATGGCCTGCCGGCCCCAGCTGAACGATGGCTCCACGTGTGACGATCCCAAGAATCGCAATCTATTTGTCGAACAATACTATTGTTCGAATCGCAATTTATCCGCTCGTCAATTGCGCGAACTGTATGTGTCATTCCCCAGTGCCCATTCGTCGCTGTCCTTCTATGCCATGCTGTTTTTGGCCTTTTATCTGCACGCCATCTGGCGGGGTGGTCGTGGTGTGAATCGTGTCTTGCGTCATTTGTTGCAGTTTCTGTTTCTATCGCTGGCCTGGTTTATATCGTTGAGTCGTGTGGCCGACTACTGGCACCACTGGTCGGATGTGATGGCCGGTGCGGTAATGGGTATTATCTATGCCACACTTACGGCCATCTATGTGGGTAGATTTCTCAGCTACTATACCTCCTCGTCGGCATCCTCGGCCATAAGTCCTCATCACCATCATCAGCAGCAACAGCAGCAGCATCACATCAACAAACAGTCATGTTTGCATCAAACATCGAACAAGCTGAAAGCCTCGCTGAAACACCACCAACATGTTGGCTCGAGTACGGTGAGCTTTCAACCGTCGCAGCAGCAGCAGCAGCAGCATTCGCTGAGTCATGAACCAACACCACCACCACAACAACAGCAGCTTAAACAACAACTTTACAGCGATCAAATTTCAGCAGCCTCAACACTGCCAGGTCTCTCGACCACATCCACCGCCGCTGCCCTGGATGCAGTCGCATCATTAGCCACCACTGTGACCGAAGAAGAACTGGTGACGTTAACATCAGCCAGAGAGCATTTAATAGCATCGAATGAATCCATCTGGAAATCGGGTACATCATAACAACATCAGCACTAGGTACCAGCATGGTGAAGTGATCGGTATAAGTCATACAGCTAGCTACACAGGGCTACAGGAGGAAATCTCGGGGACCAGGCGGCTCCGAGGGGTTACTATTTTCAATAGAGGGCTTTTAAAAGGCTTTTACAAATTACCCTTTAGAGTCTTCCATCTGTGTACACAGAATAAAAGGTGAAAAGCTTTTATTTTCAATACCTGGCATATAAAGGACTCGTTTCCTTTAAAAATACCTAAAGAGGGGATCTCAGGAACCAGGCGGCCTTCTACTCTAAATAAAGAGCTTTTAAAATGCTTTTACAAATTAACGTCGTTGGGGGGCTTCTATTTTCAAGAGATCGCTTTTAAAAAGCTCATATCTAATAAATTAACTTTTAATGGGTTTCTATTTTAAATAAAATGTTTTGAAAGAACTTTTTTTTTTTTAAAAGAGGCCCCTTAAGAGGCTTATATTTGCAATAGAGGGCTTTTAAAAGCTTTTAGAAATTACCTTTAAGAGATCTCCATTTGTTTACACAGAATACAATCGGGCCCTTTTTGAAAAACTTTTGTTTTCAATGGCAAGGACACCAAAAAGACCTGAAGAGCTTTTTACTAAAAGTGGTTCTCATTCAGGAACCAGGCGTCTTTGAAGGGCATATATTTTCAATAGAATGCTTTTATAAAGCTTATGTTTAACAAAAAGACCTTTTGACGAGCTTTTATTTAAAATGTAGTTTTTAAAAGAGCTTTTTTGAGAGAACTTTTGAGTGACTTATATTTTTAATTGAGGGCTTTAAGAAGATAAAATATTCGGGACTCTTTTGAAAAGCTTTTATTTTCAATAGCACCACTCCAAAGAACCTGAAGAGCTTTTAACTAAAAGTAGGTCTCTCTTTAAAAAACTCCCATTTTTAAAAATTGATAGAACCTGAATGGTTTTTTTTAATAGAAGAATTTTTTAAGAGATGCTAATGTTATTTGCGATGAGCTAAGGCTCCTTTATAATAGAAGCCCTCATAATGGCTTTTATTTAAAAAAATCAGGTCTGTATGAAGGCCTTTATTTTTATATAATCTCTGGGAGGGTACTTAGTAAAAAAACTAAGGAGTGTTTTCCGAGAGGAACCCTAATAGGAAACTCCTTTTAATAGAAGGGCGTCTGTTTTCAATACGGCCTTCTATTTTAAGGGCTCCTTTTTCAATGGAAAGCCTCTGAGGGGCTTCTTTTATCAATGAAATTCCTTGAAGTGATCCTATTTCAATAGAAGTTTCTTTAACTATTTCCTTTTCCTTGAGGCACCTTTGAAAGGACCTCTATCGTATCACAACTCATTTTTTGATTAGAATGCTTTGGCCGGATGGAAGAATACCAGAGGTGGAACCCCTCTGAATGAATTCTGTTTTCAATTGCGAAAGGACGGGTGGAAGAATGCCAGAGCTGAAGACCTCTGAACGACATCTGCTTTCAATTGCAGGACTTAAAAAAGTCCTTAAAAGGCCTACGATTAAAAATAGAAGTCCTCCAAAAGTGATTGCATTTTTAATAGAAGAACCTCGAACGTCTTTACTTTTTGATTAGAATGCTTTGGCCGCGTGAAATACCAGAGGTGGAAGACTTCTGAACCATTTCCTTAAAGAGCCCTTAAAAGGCCTACGTATAAAAGTAGAGGTCCTGCAGAAGTTCATGCATTTTTAATAGAAGACTCTTTAAGGTCCTCATTTTTTGATTAGAATGCTATGGCGGATGGAAGAATGCCAGAGTTGAAGACCTCTGAACGACATCTGTTTTCAATTTTGTTTTCAATTGCAGGCCTTAAAAGAGTCCTTAAAAGGCCTACGATAAAAAATAGAGGTCCACCAAAAGTGATTGCATTTTTAATAGAAGACTTATGAAGGTCTTCATTTTTTTCACTAGAATGCTTTGACCGGGTGAAAAAATGCCAGAGGTCCATTCTTTGAATTGGAAGTCGTTTTAAAGTCTTATATTTGAAGTGGGGCACTTTTAAAGGGTTTCTGTTGCATTGGATCCATTGGCGGATAGGAAGACCCTTCAAATCCCTTATTTTAGATTTGGAAACCCATTAGAAGCCTTCCATATTTCTTAAAATTTCTTCTGAAAGAGAAAAAAACCTTTAAATGCCCTTTATATTAACAGAGGACTTATATCGATATAAGGCTATTTAAAGCCCTGTCATTGAAATGAAGGCCCCATCGAAGCCATCCTTTGAATTGGAAGTCTTTTTAAAGCCTTCTATTTGAATTGGGACCCTTTTAAAGGGTTTCTGTTGTATTGGACCCATTGTCGGATAGGAAGACCCTTTAAATCCCTTTTTTAGATATGGAAACCCTTTAGAAGTCTTTCATATTTCTTAACATTTCTTCTGAAAGAGAAAAACACCTTTAAATGTCCTTTATATTAACAGAGGGCTTATATCGATATGAGGCACTTTAAAGACCTCATGAAGACCCCATCGAGTCCGTCTATTGAATTGAAAGTCTTTTTAAAGCCTTTTATTTGAAGTGGGACACTTTTAAAGGGTTTCTGTTGCATTGGATCCTTTGTCGGATAAAAAGATTTCCTTTTTAAAAACCTTTAGAAGCCTTCCATATTTCTTAAAGATAAAACAACTCTAATTCAAAGTCAGACCATTTAAGGACTTCCAATTTCAAGAAACCCCTTTAAATGTCCTTCATATTAATAGGAGGCTTATATCGATTTGAGGCACTTTAAAGACTTGCTATTAAAATGAAGGCCCCATCGAGTCCATCCTTTGAATTGGAAGTCTTTTTAAAGCCTTCTATTTGAAGTGGGAAACTTTTAAAGGGTTTCTGTTGTATTGGACCCTTTTACGGCTACGAAGACCCTTTAAATCCCATATTTTAGATATGGAACATTAGAAGCCTTCAATATTTCTTAAAATTTCTTCTGAAAAATAAATAGGAAATTTATAATTTGCGGAGCCGCATACGGACCGGAACAACATCCTGTAGCCCTGTGCTCCAATTGCCGTATTCAAAAATCGATCTGCCATTTTTTTTTTGCTTGTCCCAACCCCAATGAATGGTTTCCCTTTTTTTTTGTTGAGGCTGATGCCAATGTTGATGCTGTTATTTATATCTCCATGTTGGATTGTTATTGTTGTTGTTCTTGTTTTTTATGATTACTGTAGCCTTATGTTGTTCTTCTTGTTGTACAATTATAGTAATTGAGAAATTATGATTATTGTTGTTACAATGATAATGTCGATGATGATGCTGATGATTTGTATTGAAATGTGATAATTTTTTTATTTTACAATATTTTTTTTTATGGTTTTAAGTCGTCGTTTACGATTGGATCCGCAATGCTGCTATTGAGTTTATTTTTTGTCTTCTAAAGTACGAATAAATTTATTTATAAGTATGTATGTATGTAAGATTGTGTGCCTTTAGATGTAGTCTGCAGCTATAGCCTAGTTAGTAAGAGTTCTATTTTATTGTATGTATATTTAGCTTTAAATGAGCTGGGATGCGTTTAGAGGGGTTTATTTGTGGCAACCCATCGTGCATTCGGAGTCTGGAGATTATGTGTTAATGTATGTCTATGGCTACCTTACAGTGGAACCTTTCATGGATGGTCGTATGGTAGGTTCATATATTTTCTATAGAGAAAACCAATTCAAATTTCCTTAGTGTCTTTTTAAAGGTCTTCCCCTCCTTGGGCGCCATTTCCTCCCCTATGACAGGTTCCACTGTAAATATGTCAATGTATAAATAGTTTTTTTTTTTTAATTTTAGTTTATTTATTTGTTATTATTGTTGCTGTTGTCTCTAGTTTTGTAGCTATATGCCAATTTATGATGCATATTATTTTTTATGATAATTTCATATAGATTTTGCCAGGCATTGCCGCCACTCCATGGTATGGCATGGCATGGCTGTTAAGTCGATATGTTTTTTGTCGACACCGACATCGACGACGACTGTCTGCATTTATGAAGTTATAAATTCGAAACAATGTACTCTTTTTTTTGGTCTGGACTTCCAAGTTTTTTTGTTTTTATTTGTAATTTTTTTTTTTACTGGTTAGTTAGAGGATCATCTGCCTGCCTGCCTGCCAGCCCGACCACTTGCAGAATAATCGCCGCATAAATTTGCTATTCCCATGAAAATTTATGAATGGCATTGTATTACAACAATGTAAGATGATAATATTAAAAATGAAAGATTGGAAATCGAATATGTGCGGTTGGCTGGTAGCTGAAAAGTTTCTAATGATGATGAGGAGAATAGTTTGAGTGGCTGTTTTTTTTTTTCGTTTTTTTTTTTCTGGCGGATGTTGGAAAATGTAAACAGCCCACCGGAAAAGAGGTCTGGAATTGCATGACTTGTGGCGGTGACAGTTTTTTTTTGTTGGATTTTGAAAAGAAAAGAAGGGCCTTTAGATAAGTTTCGGTAGTTATTTTAAATGAAAATAGGGAAGAGAGAATTAGAACATTTATAATTTTTCCAAAAAAAAAAAAAAAATAAAATAAAAAATAAATAAATAAAATAAAATAAAAAAAATAAAATAAATAAATAAATAATAATAATAAAAAAAAATTAAAATAAAAAAAAAAAACAAGTAAAAGCTGTGAGTTCGGTCGGACCGAACTTTGAATACCCTCAACCATCAGCTATTTTAAATAAAAATAGGGAAGAAAGAATAAGAGCTTTTATATTTAAAAAAAAAAGAAAATAAATAAACAAATAGAAATAAAAAAATAAATAATAAAAAAATAAAATAAAACAAGTAAAAACACCGGGCCGAACTTGTAATTCCCTCCACCATTTGGAACGAATTTGGCAATATTCAAAAAAATAAATAAATAAATAAATAAAAATAATAATAATAATAATAATATAATAATAATAATAATAATAATAATAATAATAATAATAATAATAATAATAATAATAATAATAATAATAATAATAATAATAATAATAATAATAATAATAATAATAATAACAATAATAATAATAATAATAATAATAACAATAATAATAATATAATAATAATAATAATAATAATAATAATAATATAATATAATAATAATAATAATAATAATAATAATAATAATAATAATAATAATATAATAATAATAATAATAAACAAATTAATAACTAAAAATACAATAATAAAAATAAATAAATAAAAGAAATTAAAAAATAAAAATGAATAAAAAATAATAGTAGTAGTAATAATACTAATAATAATAATAATAATAATAATAATAATAATAATAATAATAATAATAATAATAATAATAATAATAATAACAATAATAATAATAATAATAATAATAATAATAATAATAATAATAATAATAATAATAATAATAATAATAATAATATAATAATAATAATAATAATAATAATAATAATAATAATATAATAATAATAATAATAATAATAATAATAATAACAATAATAATAATAATAATAATAATAATAATAATAATAATAATAATAATATTAATAAAAATATTAATATTAATAATAAATTAAAATCCGTTAACAATTCTCTTAAAATCTTAAAAATGCCGAATGTAGCCCTTATCTTTCTGTCTTTGCCACGACGTGGACCTGCGCAACTTTTGTCATAAGCCATAACAATATTCAAATGCGAAACTTGAAAAAAAATCGGTGAATAATGTAGCTAATGTAGGATATACCAAAAAGGTGGACCTGCACAGACAAATTTCTGTTATAGGCTGTAGCATCCACTACGAACTACAAATACCAAATTTTAAACAATTCCGGTGAATAATTTCGCTAAATTATCATCAAAATACCGAATATCGAGAGGTGCCGTTATATGGA